GAGTGGGAGGCAACCATCCAAATCACATGAAATGGTGAGAAGTTGAATTGTAAAAAATATATAACAATTACCTCTGGAGAAAACTGTGTCATAAACCAGATCTGATACTTCTGAGCTCCTCTCCAGAGCAATTCAGTCATTAATTAATTAATTAATTAATTGATATTACTGTTTTCTCCTTTGGCTGTGTCAAGCTCTGACTGAAGCACCACCAAAAAGGCAGGTGATCTGAAGCAGGAAGAGGGAGGGAGGTTGAGAGTGCAGAGGAGAGCTTGAGTGGAACAGAAAAAATACGAGGGGAATGGATCCTAGTGGTGGGGACATGAAAGCTGAAGAAAAGCAGCTCTTCCCCTTGAGCTCAGCTCTGTGGATGGTGGGGAGCAAAGGACAAGAAAAGCCACCTCAGGCGTCCTGTTTTGGGAGGAGAGGCAATGAGTGAAGGTGCTGGGAACTGCATTTGTGTGTGTGTGTGTGTGTGTGTGTGGCAAATAGCTCCCTCCACAACTTAATGAGTGGAATTCCTAGCAGACTCCTGGATGGAGAATGGAGCCTCACCCATGTTTTTACTCCATGGCTGCTCCCCCTCAGCCCAAAAGGGGGCAGAAGGCTCACACACACAACGTGAAATGCGTTTATTCCAGAAGGACATGTCTAAAATTGGCACCCACGTGTGCTCGCCTGCGGCTTCAACTGTCCCAGGAAGTTTTCCTGCAGTGGTTTGCTGGCTCACTTCATCTGTTCCTCAGTCATTTCAATCCCCAAGATGCTTCCATCTGATCCTCTCTGAAGCATTGAGGGGAAACTGAGAGAACGCTGAAGGGAGCGACCAGAGAAAATCACAGAGGATCCTGGGTGGAGAAAGAAGAAAGGTGGGATCAGCAGAGTACCGATGCTCCAGCTATGTCTCTGGTTAGCGCACTGCGGTTCGAGGCAAACTGTTGAGAAAGAGAGAGTGCTCATGGCGTGTCTCTGAAGGAGAGCAAGTCAGCGCCAGAGAATGAGGAAGAAGAGCTTCTCTGGACCTCTGGTGGGGCACAGGAGTTGCCTGCCAGGACTCTCTGCCCAGGGTGTTGGGCATGGGGCAGGAAAGGCTCTTTTATCAACCAAAGGAAGCAATGGGTCAAGGCGCCCAGCACACATGCTGCTGAAGACCTGTTGTGGGGCAGTGAGATCTGCGTCTGCATATGATGTGGGGGCAGCCCTACAAGCAAGTTGTGAAGTTTGAAGATCATTTCTCAGCTCAAGCCAAGAGCTCCCCTAACAGAGACTTCAAATAAAGCCAGGCAGGGATGGCCCAGTTACACTCCTTCGTGGCGCCATCATTTCATAAAATGATGTGTAGCTGTACTATTGCAACCAAGCTTCCCTCCAACCATGTCTTCCCCTGCAGCCAGGCCTCTGCATTTATCCTGATGCATGTGCAAATGTTCAGGGGCAGTTTCATCTTTAAATCTGGCACCAGCCTGTGCACCTGAGGCATACTTCAATCAACACTTTTAGGCCATTTGAGGCGAAGTTGAGGGTTTTCCTTCAATTTGTCTTATTTTCGGCAGTTCATGGAGGTACATTTCCTCTTTCACCAAAATTGATATTCAGCATGCCAGGTTCGGCATTGCTTTAATGTTCCCCCTCTTGTATAAAATTCTTGTTCTCCAGGGGTCCAATCTAAGGTTCAACCGGTGGAGTCCGGTGGAGATGTCAAACAGCCTGGGGAATCCCTCCACCTCTCCTGTTGGGCCTCTGGCTTCACCTTCAGCAGCTCCTGGATGACCTGGGTACACCAGGCTCCAGGGCAGGGATTAGATTGGGTTGGAAAAATAAAGTATGATTCCAGAGTGATACAGTTTTTGGCCAAGGTGAAAGGGCGCTTCATGATCTCCAGAGACATCCCCTCCAGCATGCTGTACCTTCCAATGAGCGACCTGAAGGCAGAGGACACGGCAATATATTACTGGGCATGAGGCACAGAGGGAGGAAGCAAATGTGCAGCCAGGCAAAAACCCTCCTCTGGACTCAGTGGCAGAGTCAGAGCAGTATCCCAGCATAGAAATGAAGGAGTAGCTTCTGAAGTCAATGAGAGCTCCATTCACCCAGCTGAACATGTGGTGTAGGAGTTCTCCCCATATTCCTCCCATCTATTTAATGGCCTCCAACTCCTTTCTGCAGATCAAAGTGTAAGTAGAAGAACGCAGGTGAGGCAGTCCGAATGAGATCAAGCCCCATGTGCTCCCAACTTCTTTTCTCAAAGATCACCTTTCTCTCAAAACCGTCAAGGCAGCATGATCTGTGGCAGAATATACCTTGGAAATTGACAGTGTAGTTGAACATGAGTGAGTGGAAAGGAGCTGCCGCTTCTGCTGGATGAGTGGTTTTCCCTGCCAGTCTCTCACTCCATGACTGGAGTCCATTCTGGCTCTCCTCCATCAGCCCAAAGGGGGCAGCAAGCACACACTCATGATGAATGTCGAATGCCTTCATCCATGCACGATGGGATATAAATACATGATTCAAAGAGTCATCCATGAGTGACCTTCTGGGACTTCAGCTGCCTCCATGAACGCTCCTTGTGCTTGTTTGCTTGCCAACTGCTCCTGCCCCTCCGTCCTGTCAGTCCCCTGAGACACCTGCCATGATGCATTGTGGACTGTCAAGGGAAGAGTGAAAGGGAGGGAGCAACAAATACTTCCAAGTGATGTAAGCAAAGGATCAGAGAAAGAGAGACCAGGAGGGGGCCAGAAGGCCATCTGCTCCAACATTCCGCTCAGTGAGGGACACCAAGTTCAACCTTCCCTGTGGACAACCATCTTGTTGTGAAGCAAGGAAAGCTGAGAGCAAGACAAAGGACTGTCAGCAAGGCCTTACCCTCGTTAGGCAGATGCTATTAGAACCAAGAGGCTTGGGTTGAAATGGGGGTGTCCAGGGGGTGTCCGAACAGGAGCTCAGAGGAACGAACGAGATTATGTGCAGTAAATTCATGATGAAGAGCATGGTCGGGAGGGCCCGTAGCTAGGGCAAGGGGGCTGGAGGAGGCAAGAGAGTTGTGCGGGCAAAACCCATCAAGAACAAAGCTGAGAAATTCCACAATTGTGGGGCAGAAAGAACCAGCCTCAGGGGCATTTGGCAATGGAGTTGCGTTGCCACGACCATGGTTGTATCTGGCCATAGATTTTGGAGGGCAAACCCCTGAGCTTTTATCCTGACGCATATGCAAATCTCCTGTGGCTGCTCCCTCTTTAAATCCTCCAGCCACACTCTCCGTCCACTGTGCACCTCCACGCACTTAGCTGTCAGTTCTTTCAAACTAGTATAAGTAAAAATGATAATTTTGCTTCAGCTGGCTTTACTTACTGCAGGCCTTGGAGGTACTATTTTTTCCTCAAAAAGCGTTTGCTGCATGAAAGGTTTTTTTGTACCCTCCAGATCAATGTCAAATTTTTTTCCTTGTAGGTGTGCAGTCAGAGGTGCAACTGGTCGAGTCTGGAGGGGATGTAAAACGGCCGGGAGAGTCCCTGCTCCTCTCCTGTCGAGCCTCCGGCTTCACCTTCAGCAGCTACTACATGGCCTGGGTGCGCCAGGCTCCAGGGAAGGGCCTGGAGTGGGTTGCCTATATAACCGACAGTGGGGGCAGCACATACTATGCGGACAAGGTGAAGGGGCGCTTCACCATCTCCAGAGACAACCCCTCCAACATGCTGTTCCTGCAAATGAGCAACCTGAATGCTGAAGACATGGCCGTGTATTACTGTGCAAGAGACACAGTGGGAGGAAGTGAATGTGCAGCCGGGCAAAAACCCCTCTGTGCTCCTGGGGCCTTCCCTGGTGTTTCCCTGCCGCAGCCTGACTGCAGCAAGGGGCTGCCGGGCCAGTGTTTGGAACCCGG